AGTGAAGAAGTGTTCCCTTTTTACCCCATTCTCTCCAGCATCTGTTTTTTGTTTTTTGTTTTTGTTTTTGTTTTTGAGTTATTGATGATAGCCATCCTGACTGGAGTTAGGGTATTTCAGTATAGTTTTAATTTGCACTTCCTTGATGACTAGTGAGGCCGAGCATTTTTTCATGTATCTGTTGGTTGCTCATATGTTTTCTTTTGAGAAGTGTCTATTCATATCTTTTGCCCATTTTGTAATGGGGTTGTTTGTTTTTTTCCTTTCAGCACACTTGGGTTCCTTATATATCCTAGATATTAGGCCTTTGTCAGACATACAATTGGCAAATATTTTTCCCAGTCTGTGGGCTATCTCCCTGCTCTCTTGATGGTTTCTTTGGCTTTGCAGAAGCTTGTCAGTTTGATGAGAGCCCATTTGTCTATCTTATCTCTTATGGCATGGGCACTTGATCAGGAATTGGTTGCCAGTTCTAATTTCCATAAGGGTGTCTCCTGCATTTTCTAAGATTCTTATAGTTTGAGGTTTTACATTTAGATCTTTGATCCATTTAGAATTGATTTTTGTTTATGGTGATAGGTAGGGGTCTTCTGCATGTGGTCAGCCAGTTTTCCCAGCACCATTTACTGAATAGGTTCTTCCCTCCCTGGTCATTGGTAGTGGAGGCTTTATCCAAGATGAGTTGGTTGAGAAATTGAGGTTATGCTTCTGGAATCTCTATCCTGTTCCGTTTGTCTATATGTCTGTTCTTGTACCAATACCAGGCTGTTTTGATTATTGTAGCTTTAAAATAAAGTTTAAAATTCGGGAGCATAATATCTCCCACTTTGTTTTTGTTTTGGTTTATTTTGCTGAAGATTTTTTGGGCAATTTATGCTCATTTATGTTTCCATATGAATTCCTGTATTGTAATTTCCAGGTCTGAAAAGAATGCTGCTGGTACTTTAATGTGTATTGTGTTAAATCTGTAGATTGCCTGGGTAGGATGGATATCTTAACAATGTTTGTTTTCCAATCCATGAGCATGGATTATTTATGCATTTGTTTATGTCATCTTTGATTTCTTTGAGAAGTTTTATAGTTTTCATTGTAAAGGTCTTTCATGTCTCTATTTAGGAAGATGCCAAAGTATTTGATTTTTTTTCTGGCTATTGTGAGTGGGATTGTGCTTTTTTGGGAGGTTTCTGTTTGTTTATTATTGGTGTATAGAAATTCAACTGTCTTTTGCACATTGATGTAATACCCTGAGAATTTGCCAAAGTCCTTTATCAGGGCAAGGAGGTTTTTGACAAATTCTCTTGGGTTTTCGAGGTATAGAATCATGTCTGCAAAGAGGGATAACTTGACTTCCTCTTTTCCTATTTGGATACCTCTGAACTCCTTCTCATGTCTGATTGCTATAGCTAGGACTTCCAAAGCTATGCTGAAAAGGAGGGGTGAGAGTGGGGGACTTCCTTGTCTTGTTCTGGTTTTCAGGGGAAATTGTTCCAATTTCTGTCTGTAGCAATATGCTAGCTGTGGGTTTCTTGTAGATGGCTCTCACTATTTTGAGGTATGTTCCATCTATGCCTAGTTGTTCAATGGTTTTTATCAAGAAGTGGTGCTGGGTTTTATCAAACATTTTTTCCACATCTAATGATAAAATCATGTGGTTTTTGTTTTTACATCTATTGATGTATTTAATTACATTTATGGCCTTATGAATGTTGAACCAATCTTGTATCCCAGGGATGAAGCCTACTTGGTCGTGGTGGATGATTTAAGTAGCTTATTTTGAAGATAACATTTTCCTTTTAAAATTAGCTAAAGTAGATTATTGATAAAATATTTAATATGTATCAATTTTGTTTGTGAAGCACACAGAATACACTGAGAAACATGTTCTTCAATTTTACATTTGATTCAAAGAGACAGCCATTCAGATAACTACAGTATAAGATATAGGAGAAAAAGAATGCAGTTCAAAAGTGATATGGAAATTCAAAAGCTTTTATAGCATTAACTTTAGGGTACTTGGTCATGAATTTTTTGCCTATTCTCATAACCAGAAGGGTATTTCCTACATTTTAAAATAGGATTCTTGTAACTTGAGGCTTAACTTTTAGCTCCTTGATCTATTTTGAGTTGATTTTTGTATATGGTGGTAGGTAGGGGTCCAACTTCATTCTTCTACATGTGATTAGCCTGTTTTCTCAGCACCATTTGCTAACATGGTCTCCTTTCCCCAGTAACTGTTATTGGTGGCTTTGTCAAAGATAAGATGGTTGAGAGACTGTATTTTTACTTCCTTAATCTCTGGCTTTCCATTGGTCTATATACCTATTTCTGTACCAATACCATGCTGCCTTGGTTACCGTAGCTTTGTAATTAAGTTTAAAGTCTGGAATGCTACAAAAGCAAAAATAGACAAGTGGGACCTCATCAAGCTTAAAAGCTTTTACACAGCAGGAGAAACCACCATGAGAATAAAGAGACAATCCTCAGAATTGGGGGGAAAATTGCAAATTATGCATCAGACTAAGACCTAATATTCAGGATCTACAAAGAACTCAAATGAAGCAAAAGGAAATAAAAACAACCTCATTAAAAAGTGAGCAAAAGACATGAACAGACACTTCTCTAAAGATGACATACAAGCAGCCAACATACACATGAAAAAATGTTCAGCCTCTCTAATCATCAGAGAAATGCAAATCAAAGCTACAGTGAGATGCCACCTAACTCCTGTAAGGATGACTATCATTAATAACAAAAAACAACAGATACTGGCACGACTGTGGAGAAAAGTGAGCACTTCTACACTGGTGGTGGGAATGTAAGCTAGTTCAACCTCAATGGAAAGCAGTGTGGCAATTCCTGAAAGAACTAAAAATTGATCTTCCATATGATCCAGCAATCCCTCTCTTAGGAATATACCTGGAGGAAAATAATCACTCTACAAAAAGGACACCTGCACACACATTTATTGCCATGCTATTCACAATAGCTAAAGCATGGAACCAACCCTGCTGCCCATCAAAAGTGGACTGGATAAAGAAAATGTGGTACATATTCACAATGTAGTACCACACAGCCATAAAGAAGAATAAGGTCATGGCCTTCTCAGTAATGTAGATGCAGTTGGAGACCATCCTACTAAGTGATCTATTACAAAACAAAAGAACTGAATACTGCATGTTCTCACACATAAGTGGCCCCTGATCACTAGTCACATTAGCATGAGGGTGGAATCTGCAGATGCTGACTGGTCACTAATAGGGGAGGGAGGAAAACAGATGGGTAGGGCTCGCAACAACACAAACGGTATGGTTCACTACTGGGGGAGTGAGGGCCACTTAGAAACCCAAACATCACCTGTATGCAGCCTACTTATGTAGTAAATCCTCACTTGTACCCCACAACTCTATAATAAATAAATCTTTTAAAAAGAAATTCAAAAGAAGGAGTGAATGGGGTGATCAGAAAAGAACTTGTCGAGATGATAAGACGTAATTATACTTTAATGAGAATGGTAACTTTTAGAATAAAACATAAATGAATCAACTCTCCTAATGATATTAGCCAATACTTACTGGATATTAGCTGTATGAGGCACTGTGTATGACTGCTTTTCCCACTCAGTCATGTTTAAACTTCAAAACATTTCCAGGGGAAATATTATTGTGTTCATTTTGCAAATGAGACAACTTAGGCATAGCAAGGCAATGTTAAATAAATTGCTAAAGTCACACAACTAACAGAGAGTAGAACCAGACTCAAAACCCGGGGAGAGTGGATTCAGAGCCTGTGCTTTCCACACCACCAGCATTGCCTCCGGTATATCTGCACGCGGAGTTCCACTCCACTATTCACTATTTCTAGTGATGCATTTTATTTAGTTTACTAGATTTGTTTTCTATTATTTTTAAGTTTATTTCTCAAGCACTGATACTAAAAAAAAAATTATTTATTTCTGGCCAACGCAAGCTTTCACTTATAGTAACAAGTCCTGAACTTCTTCATCTATGAAGTAAAAATTTGAAGGAATAGAGTAGTTCCCAAGCAGTTCAAGAGTAATTACTTCTTTTAAAATAAAAAATTATGCAGACTCTTATGTTATAGTTGTTCACTTTTGCTCATTCATTACTCAGAGAAAGCTTTGAGGATGCAAGAAGGCTTTGTTCACAGGATCTTGTAGCCCCCAGGGATCCACTGGTCTAGAGTAATTTCTCAGGCCATTTCCAGTGGAAACATTTGAGATTATATGTATTCTAGACTTTAGATCCCTTTATCTGCGAAGGCCATGACTTTATTCTTCTTTATGGCTGTGTGGTACTACATTGTGAATATGTCTAATCTCCAATCTGTCATTCTCTGCCATGCAAAGGAACACATATGCTCCCCAACTCCTTAATCTTCTCTCATGGTTTCTCTGCTTGTGTTTTCCCCCTAAGTTTTTATTTCTTTCAGTTTAAATTTCTTAATAAACAATAAAGCTTGTTTTGCAGAACTCATAATTCCTATCAAACTCTCATGCAAAGGAAAAATGTCTAAAATATATGAGCTAAAACTTAGAATACAAATTATAGGCTTTTAACTTGTTTTGTGATAATAATAAATAAAGGAAGGGTTTTCTATCTAATTTTTGCCAAATCCAAACATTTCTCTGATAGATTAAATACTGAAGGCAAATCTGTGTCTGTATTTTCACCATAGACCCAGCACATTGGAGAATTAAGGGCAAATACTCTGTATAAGTGAAAGAATAAAGTTGAAAATTTTTTACTCGACTTCAAAAGCACACAAGCATCATTATCTCCTGTCTTCCATCTATTTGTACCTCTCTTTAATTTCTCCTTGACACTCTTGTCCAGTGTTTTTCCTACTCCTTGAGAATTCAATCCTAGTTTAATATCTTTGTATAGTAGAAATACTTGGGAAATACTAGGGAAGAATTCAGGTAATGTTATTCTTGGTACCACATGAGAGAGAGGTTCCATCTGTAAAATATCAGCGAGAAAATGTCAGCACCTACCATGGCCCTCAGCAATGTTCATGCCTCTAGTATGAAAAACCAAAAGTAATACTCAGGGTTTTGACAGTGGGGGTATATGTTCTTTTATGATGACCTTGCTTTCAGCAGACAGTTCAGGCTACTGCTTCAGCAGAAAATTGTAAGTCTATGCTTTTCAATAGCATTAATTCTTTAGCACTATACAAAGTTCCTTAAGCAGGGTCAAACCAATTCTTACTCTACCAGAACTTGCTCAGAACCACACAGGAGCATGTGAAAATAAGTAGAGTACCTTGACCATCACCCTGGAAGTGGCCGCTAGTTTCTTTGTGGTTCCACTGAAACTACAGGGATATTATCATGGTGCTTGTGTTATTTGATAGCAGTTTCTTATTTACCTGTCTCCCTTCCCCTTCTTCCTGGCGTTTGTATCTTGTTTCAACAGCACTTCACACAGTGCCTGGCTCAGGCTAAATAATTAATATGTGTTGAACAAAAACACTGGAGTGAGATGCAAGCAGTTAGTGAGGTAACTGAACCAAATACTAAGTTAAGTAGTAAATATGAAGTAAATTATTTGGAGAAGGGTGTACAGGGTAATCTCATTGGGGCTGACTCAGACAGGGGAAGGGTTTTGCTGGAAGTGGTGGTGGAACAAGCGAGACTCTGAGGAATGACATCAACGGGAGTTAGCCTAGTGTGCTCATCTAGGAAAGTACAAAGAATTGAGTTGTGACATACCAAAGGCTTAGAGACAGTTGATAGAAACTCTTAAAAGTTAGATGTAGAGAATTTGGATTTTATTTGAAAGCATTAGGGAGACTGTGATTCTTTGCTCTGGACAGTAAATAGTCAAAATAAGATTTTAAGAAATTATTTGAATAGGTGTGTGCTTATATCAAAATCCATATGCATAAACCAGATTATAATTATAATTGTAATTATGAAATATTGACTTTAATCTGTAGGTCATCAGTTGATCCTGAAGGTCTCTTTCTTTCTGTTCTCCTCCCACAGGTTGTTATTTTGTACTTTGAGCCAAGCACATTTCGCTGTATTCTTCTAAGATGGGTCCGTCTTCTTGGTTTTGCTACTGTCTATGGAACTGTCACTCTCAAGCTTCACAGGTATACATATTTTATTAGTTCATTCTCATGGAAGGATCAAAGCGTTTGGCTTAGCATGGTATTATAAGATGGGTTCGCCATTGAAATTGTCTAATTTCAAGAATTCAGGTAGTGAGATGATATATATTTTCCAGTTTCAAGGCAATGTCTTTTGGATTTTCTGGGGGAAATCTTCAATTGAATTTTTTAAACAAGGTGCTTTAGTGAAATGCGTCATTGGTTATAAAAAGAGTTAATTCTGAATAAGAATTAAGTTTAGAATGTGAAACAGTATTTACTAGTTCAGAACAGGCAGGAATTCAAAGACAATACTGCTGAAATAATGATACGGGTTCGGAGCGACTGCAGAATCCTCTAAAGTAGAATTCAGCAATTTGCTCATTTCAAGAAGCTACTGCCCTCCATTCTCAAGTTCCATGCCCCAGGGTAATCCTGCTGATAATTTACAGGTTAAGCTTTTTAAAATTGTGTTCTTTGTTTTCTTCCTTAACCAGTGTGTTTCAGTGATTACTAACTTTGGAAAATGGTGAATACTGAAAATCCCCTTATACTTAGTTTCAAAACCACCTAAATATTAGGAAGAAAGAGGCAATAAAATAAATTACCTATCAGCAAAGGCTAGGAATGGCTGGAAATCATGTCAAGGCCTTTCCTTTCTCCTCTTTCCAAGCTTAAAGAAAATATCAATGTAGTGGTGCCAAAGATTACAGAAGAGAAAATATAAATTTTTCCTGCAGGCTGTAGCCCTATAAAAAAGGCCCTTTGCACTGTTTAGCTTTAAAGCTATTTTGATAGTCATAGTAAGCCATTTATATTTCATGCTAATTTGGCCATACATGTTTCTCAGTAAAAGTTCCCTGATAGTGCTCATACAGCAGTTTATCTTAGATGCCATAACATGTGTTTTGTTTGTCTTTAAATGTCTCCCTTTCAACCTTTTTCTAAAAAATGTGATAAGTATACTACCTACTACACAAGGGTCTCAATTTCTTTTTCTTTCTTTCAGTACTTAATTACTGGGAGTTCTCTAGATTATCTCTTTTTGGAACAAATGTGAATGTGGTTGACTCTCAAGATTCCCTTTCTGTATCTGTGGTATAGAACAAAGAACGTTGGACTAGATTTCAGGAGAGCCAATTTAAATCATGATTTAGCCTCTAACTCCAAGAAATCATAGGACTCTATTTACTACAAAAGGCAAAGATTAGACCAATCTCTAATGTTCTTTCTGACTGTCACTTTATTCTGTCCACATCACAGCATATTTTGCTCTTGGGCCCTTCAAGTACCTTCCGGGATTCCATTCCTTATATCATAGCTATTTTTCAACCAAGGAAATGAGCAATCAGTCACAGCCTATATGGACAATAAGCCTTCTAGAAATCCTGAAAGAATAGATGCCTTCCTGAGACAAAAATGAACTCTCCCTGTTAGTCTAGCACTTGGTGTCTATTGGGTTCTCTATGATAATACTCATGACATGTTATCGTTTCATTTGTTTTCTTCACTTTAAGTTGCCTTCTACTTGAAGTAAGGGTCATCTTATCATTGAATTCCCAGCACGCAGCACAATGACTGACACGTGAGAGGTTTTTATTTTATTTTATTTTTTATTTTTTTTTGAGTTGGAGTCTCACTCTGTCACCCAGACTGGAGTGCAGTGGCCGCTCCCGGCCACCACAACCTCGACCTACTAGGCTCCGACGATCCTTCCACCTCAGCCTTCCAAGTAGCTGGAACTACAGGTGTGCGCTACCATGCCTGGCTGATTTTTTAATTTATTGTAGAGATGAGGTCTCACCAAGTTGCCCAGGTGGGTCTCGAACCCTCAGCCTCAGGCAATCCACTCACCTCAGCCTCCCAAAGGCGCGGGATTACAGGCTGAGCCACCAAGCCCGGCATTGAGAGGTTTTTAATACATTTTATTAGACGAGTGAATGAATGAAAATGTCAGATGCAGACCTGGAAACTGCTTCCCATAGTTCCCTCCACACATAACACATCTGTATTCCACCAACTCACTGTGTTCTACCTCAGCATATCTCCCTGTGTCTGGAACACATGATACTGTGGTCTGTAAGAGGATGTTTGGGGGATGTGACACCGCATTAAGTAGCACTGAACTATATATATAGTGAGACAATTCCGTTCAGGTTCTCTTTCCATCCTTCTGATTATCTATAGGAGAAAGATCAGTTTGAAGCTAGTAGGTTTTTAACACCTTCCTTACAGTTGCTAATCTTCCTTTGCAACAAAGAGCAGATCAGGCTTCAGTCTCAGAGCTTTTCCCTGAAGTGCTGTCTCAATGAGATTCGGTACCTTTGTTTCACTCTATGTATTTTTGTAGTTCCTTTCTATTTATGGAATATTATCTATTGGTTTTCATTTAAGGTACTGATAGGAAGTTTCCTTTAAAATACATTAAAACAATAAACATAAATTGATTTGAAGAAATTATTAGCTGATGCACAGATACAGCAGAAATCTTGAAGGTAGTATGCAAATGTTTGGAATTTGGGAAACTAGGTTATTTCATCATCTCTTTTGTTTACTTTAAAAACTGAAATTAAAATGATTTTCTATCTGATTGTGTGTCTCTAGAAGTCATTGCAGTGAAGAATTACTCCACCAAGGGCTTAAATTGAGTAGAAACTATTTCCAATTTAATATGAAATATGAGCTGAAATATTCTCATCCTCTAGGAACCATATGGCTTTACTATTATATTCTGGGTTTTTTCCACATTGCTTAAATGTAACTGATTCCAATATTGTATAAATTTATAAACTAAATAATCAGCATCACATAGGAATGTGAGCAACATGGGGAAGGACTGGCCAAATCAGCTTAGTGCTACCCATATTCAGTGGGGCACCTTGCTGATGTTGTATATTCAGATACTTGTTGAATGAAGAATGGGTGGATAGTTCTAGTGAATGAATCTGCAGCCGGTGTGTTTGGCTGGTATCCCTGAGAGTCAAACAACATGTGGTCCTGAAGAAAGGACTTCTGAGCTTTGGTAGGGACATGAGAGAGGAACGACATACATCCCGACAAACCCAAATTTGAATTTTAATTCTGCCATTACCTATTTATATAACCAAGAATAAATTACTTTAACATCTGATAATTAACTTATCATCTATAGGATGGTTTAATACATCACCTGTAAAGTTGAAATGATTAAGTGTAATTTAACTGTATGTGAATATATCAAATAGTGTTTTTTAGTTACAAACCACAGAAACTGAAATTAAGCAAAAACGAAATTCATCGGGAGGATATGGGGAAAGTCACAACTTGAAGGGAATGCCAAAGAGCCAGGCTTTGGAAGTGCTGATCCAGGATAGCTTGAGGGATCAAAGTACCCTGAACTAAGGGATAATGTCTTTGGAATATCATAGCCCATTTTCAAAGGAATTTCATTTTTCATTCCAAGAACTTTTAAAAAAATAAACTACACCTCTCTATGCAGAAATCCTGAGGAAATTATGAGTACTGATACGTAAAATGTCTGTTACAGTTTCTTGAGAGTAAGATAGGCATGAAAGACCTGAGATTTTGTTATATTTCAGCCATTTCCCTCATGGCTTAGTGGAATTATTGAACATTTCTTTCTCTATCACCTGGTCTCTTACTGACTGATTGTAGTATTTATAGATTTCCTGTAGCACTGAACACTTGAAACAAACATGAAAAAGAATCAGGGTCTCTCTCTCCAGAAAGGGTACTGTTAGTCTGGAATGGAATTTAAAGACTTCATTCACTGGATCCAGGGCTCTCTCCACTGTGCCTATCCAGTCCTGGTTTTACCATCAACCTACCTGTTCTTTAATATCTGGGCCTTAGTTTTCTGCATCTGAAAAATGAGATTGCTCCCGTTACGTACTTTTCATATACAATAAAGGAAACAATTTTTTAAAAAAAAATTCACTTTTGCCAAATCTTCCACTTTTTTCTTTGGTGTTCTCTCCTCACATGTGAGAGTCATACAACCAAACACTACCATCACATTCCGAAGGAAAATGATAAAAAAAACCCAACTTTTAGTTATCTTTATTATTGCCTTAAATTCTCTATAGACAATGGTTCCCCTTGTTGCCTGCACCCAGGGCAGACCACTCCCACAGTCCCACTTCATTGACATGCCATTCATGCAATATGTAATTTATCTGAACCTGAAACTGTTTGAAAAAGAGAGAGAGGAGAGAAAGAAGAGAGGAGAGAGGGGAGAGAGGAAGAAAGAAAGAAAAGGAAAGAAGTGGACCCTGAGCATCTATCATAATACTAAAGAAAGGGATTGACAGTAGCAGGACACTGCCAGGGGAAAGGTGGGGCACATCACATCAGTAAGGGTACCTGATACCAAACCAGGTGACGTGAGGACTATTAGGAGGTCCAAACTTGACCTGTATGATGACCATTTATGTACCTAATCCTGAATTGTACCCCACATCTTTAAAATGAAATTTAAAAAAAAAATATATAAAGAAGAATGGTATTGGTTTCAGCTAGCTTAGTGTGGATCATAAGGGGAAAAAGAGCTAAGCAGGCACAAATGACGAAGGTTCATTTACAAAAAAGAGCTTCCTTCAGGAACCGTGGCTATTTTGACTTAGTATGTGAGTGAGTAGGACAGATCTAAAAGAGCACACAGCAGCACCTCTATGGATGTGTGGGTTCACAGAATCCCTGCTAAGCTAGTTTTCTGTTACGTTTCAAGAAACTTGAGAAAGCACTATCTCTAGGCTCAGAAAAGCCAGGTATATTTTCAGGTGGCAAAATGAAGAAATGTTGTTAAACAAAAGGGAGTGAAGAGAGATTTTAAAACTTAATGCTAAAAGAACATTTTAAAACAAAAAATTTCCTATAACGTGGTTTCTGAAAACATTTTGGCTTTTCCTTTTTCTAAGACTAATCAAGAAAAAAAACAAAAGATTTTTTTGTACTATGTTTAAAATGAATATTTAAGCAAGCTGTGAAAAGCTTTCTTCTGGCTC